TAATAATAATAATAATAATAATAATAATAATAATAATAATAATAATAATAGCACCATCAGTCAATTGCAAAAGGCAGCTTTACTTGGAATAGCTTCCATCCTGCGACGATGCCTTTAACACCATCAAACAACATCTGCCTATCCCTGGTCCTTGGGAAGGACTCAATAGGTGGATAAAAATTCCAAATCCCATCTAAACATCTGGCTGACTGACCATAATAAGAATATATTAAACTTGTATCCCACCCAACTCTCAATGATTTGAGGCAGCTCACAACAATCAAAGAAAGAAGTTACAATAAAATCAATAAAAGATAGAGATAAAAGATGGCAAGTGTGATGAAGTGAGGGGTCTGACTCTCCCTCACCAAAGGCCTGGGAGAAAATCCAGGTCTTCAGATCTCTGCTAAACAGTAGTAGAGACAGAACCATCCATATCTCAGAGGACAGATGCTGCTGCAAAGAAGGCATGCTTCCAGGGTCCTGAGAGTTGACACTGTTTAACTGAAGGAACCCAGAGCACGCCAATCCTGCAGGATTGAATCAGCCAGGCAGATGCTCGGGGAGACAGGTAGTCCCTCAAGTAATCAGGCTCTATGCCATGGAGAGCTTTATAGGTAACAACCAGCATCTTGAATTGTACCCGGAAGAAAACTGGCAACCAATGCAGCTCAGAAAACAAAGTGTGACATGGACATACCAAGCCATGCCCATTTCTGCTTGCCCCACCACATTCTGGACCAGTTGAAGCTTCCAGGTAGTCTTCAAGGGTAGCCTCATGTAGAGCTTGTTGTGGTAGTCAAGCCACGAGATGACTAGGGCATGAGGGACTGTCTGAAGGGCCTCCTGATCTAGGAAAGAAAGCTGCATGGACCTCTCCATGTAGTCACCAGGTGTCCAGACTAACTCGAAAGGCTATAACAATGACAAATTACAACAAAGCAGAGTAATTAGAGGAAAGGTAGGACTATGAGTATTGTCAAGAAATATCCAGCACCAAAAGCAGATAGAGAAGCATTAAACCAAAATCTTTGAAAACTTCTGAAACAGTTCTATTTCATTCTTGGCCTTCTTTAAATCATAACACATTGGGAGTTTTAAAAATACTATCAAGGACTTTGACCATTTAGTAAAGTGATGCTCTGAACAGGAGCAAATACCATGTTACTTTCTGTTTTAAAAAGCCTGCATTTTGCTTTTCTTTTTCGATTTAGACATTCAAGAACCCTACGTCACCGTTTCTCGAGCCTCCCCAGATATTTCACTCAAGAGCACCACGGGCCTCATTCTTATCTGTGATGTGACTGGATTTTCCCCAGCGGAAATTAGCATCTCATGGGAAAGAAATAACGTATCCCTGAGTGAAAAGCTGTATGACAACGGGATCGCAACAAAGACTACAAATGGGTATTCCATTTACAGCATCTTGAAAATTGGCAGAGATGAACCGGGAGGAAAGGGAGGCAACTATCAATGTATAGTCTACCATCCTGCTTCTCAAAAACCATTCACGGCCCATGAAAATGTACCCATCGGTAAGTGGACCTTCTAAGTTGGGTGCTAAAGGTATCGTGATGAGTCAAATTGCAAGCATGGTGGATTTCCTGCCAACAGATTCTTCACTGTAAAGGCTTCAGAAGCAAATAGATCATCCGCATCCTTTGGTTTAGCACTTCACCACTGCTGAGAGGCAGGTTCGTTAATGGAAAGCAGGACCCATTCATTGAAAAACATTGCTAATGATTTAAGGTGCTACATGTGCAGCTGTGAGAAGTTGTTATTCTGGGAAGCCCAGATGAAAAGTTGTATTATGGAGCAGCAGAGAATGTATATTGTGCCTTACAGAGCCCTTCCCCCCCCCAAACTCAAAACTATCAAAATCCTCATCAAAATTTCACACAAAATTGTGCCAATCTCTTGCAAGATCTTATGAGATCTTGTAAGATCTCAGTCCTTCCTTTTCCAGCAAAGCCATTGCATCGAACCGTGTAATGGTATCCAGAGTCCAAGGATGGCTGCTGAACTTGCTGTTGGCATAATCTTCTATGCTGTGATTAGTGGAGCACCAAGTTTTGGATATAATTTGCCTGCTTGAGTGCAGTTATGTAGGACAAGCTCAACTATCAACCAAGCTCAACCATATTTTACAGGGGAGTGGACAAGAATCATGGAAAAGGAAGGACAGAGGTATATCTAATCCATGATATTCTGTTCCCTGCAACCAATCCAAAATTTGTCACATGCAAACTTGCAACATTAACAGGAGAAGAGTCCAAGCACCAAGATTAAGAGAAATAGTAATCTGGGCTTAAGCAAGTATATTTATAGAATAAATACATTGATCAATTACAATTTTAGGTATAGCCAGAGTATATCCACAAGGGTAGGACATGGAAATCAGGGTGTGCCTTGATTCAGTGAAATGCCTGCTAAAATGAATCCCGTCATGTTTAAAATTTAACCCTAAATTCTGTGAGTCAGTGCACATACTAATAGCCTTAACCGCAAGAGGGGACCTGGACTAGTTCATACATGTATCTGCATTATGCAAATTATTCTGATAATGAGTTTTCCATGTTAAACAGCCATCAAAATCAAACACCACTGATGGAGCATTCACACAACCTTGCCTCGTTTCTGTCCTTTCAAAGGAAACAATTCATACTTTTGCCTAAAGAAGAATTGCAGGGGGGTAGAGGAATAACTGGAAAAAAGCAGAAGGGTGGGATGGATTTTTTCCATTTTTCTTCTGTTGGAAAAAAGTTGACATTTTAGGGAACTCACTTGAAATATTAAGATAAAAGAACGTTTTCTTGAAGTCAAACCGTTCCTGGTCCACGATGTCTTCTTGGCAGCAGTACGGAAGTGGTTAAGCACTCTCTCTTCCTGGGAAGTTTCCAACTTTCAACAGCTTTCAGTCTAGCTTGCAGTTCTGGAATTCCCTGAATGTCTCCCCTCCAAATTCTAACCAGGCCTGATCCTGCTTAGCTTTCCAGTTCAAACAAAAACATTTAGATGGTATTACCTTACTTGGTTAATGTCCCCAATGCTTTGGAAGATGTTTTATTCACTCACTTGTTATTATACAATGTTTATACGGTACCAAACACTCTAGTGTATCAGAGGATGACCATTTCTATAGATATAGCACTCATACCAAACATGCATTTAATGAGAAGAGCAAACCTCCTTCATTGTTGGTTAACATCTGCTTGCTTCTTTCTGGTGACTCGGACCTAGGAATGAGATATCTGAAGCAATGTCATACATTTGCTGTTCTTTGTTTTTGCCCACTGAGGTGGTTGAACTTTTCTCTCGGCTGGCTATGCAACAAATGTCCTGCTACAACTCTAAAATGTATATGCTGTGGATGCTTGCATTGTGCAATCCAGTATGTGTGTAAGCTGCACTAAATAAGTGTATCTTGCTTTTCAGAAGGCAAGCAAGCACTGCCTGAGCTAAAAGCACCATCTAGACAGTAAGAGAGAGAAAGCAGGTGAATAATTGTATATTTTAAATATAGGTTCAGGAAGAAATCATTGCATGCATTTCAACACTGCACCATTTTTTCCCCTGAAAGAAGTATTTTTTTAATGATACAATTTCAAAGTTTCCAGCTGTTTTTACACTTCTTGCACACATCTAATTTCATTGGCAAAAGAAAAAACTAGTTCTAGACTCCTCCTTAGTACTTGGGGCCCATTTATTCTGGACATGCTCAGACACCACTTCCATCAGCTTCACATTCCCATCGTACTACAAAGAGTCTACATCAGGAAGATTCATACAGCCCTAATTTGCTTCATGAAGAGCGTCTCCAATTCTTTTATTTACACTCCAGGGAGATCCTTTTGCTTATTACAGGTAACTTATCATTTGATGTCACCCTAGTGCACCCTATGATATGACCCTTTTTCCTCTTCTATTATGGCTCCTGATTATCACAGTTTCTTTACAGATTCACTGGAACCTCGAGCTCCTACCGTGGAACTCCTGCAGTCAGTAGATCGGGTGAAGAAAACCATGACGTTGAAATGCATCGCATTTAATTACAGACCCTCAGATGTCACCATCAAGTGGATGGGTTTCCCACAACATAAGAACATTGTGGAAAAGAAGATAGCAGATGGAACATATTGGGCCAGCAGCCAACTCACCATCCCCCTCTCCCAATGGCAAGAAGTGGAAAACAATACTTGTGAAGTGGTACACCAACGAACAAATACAAGAAGTGTCAAGACAGTCTCCAGAAAAGGTGAAATAGGGCAGCAAAGCTAGAATGTTCAAGCTTCATCTCTTAATTGGGCAATTAATGCTGGAATCTTCTCCTTCCCACTTTTCGGGTGTGAACCCCACTAAATGCAGTGGGGCTTCCTTCTGAGCAGCATGGGCCTGGATTATACTGCACTATTAAAAAATCTAGAGAGGTTAGAAAGGCAGGACAACTAATGCTGGAACAACCATAATGCTGTGTGGACCATGAAGGGTTCAGGGGAAGATTTAGAGGCACCAGTGGTCTTTCTAAATTCTCTGCCAAATTTCTGAGCAAACAGATTCAGTAGATGATTTCTCCAGGGAATGGAGACATTCTCCAACAGGTTCTTCATGAACAAGACTCCCCTTATCAGTGATAGCTGTACCTTCTGGAAAAAAAATCCAAAGAGAGTTCTTCCATGGTTCCTTCCCTTGAGATTTAATGCAAGCATGGAAAACCAAGGAAGGAGGTATTTGTACAAGGGAAGATGCAGCATTCACCCACACTCCTTGGCCATTTTTTGTAACATAATAGGTGTGAGACCACCACACTCTACCCATGACACTCCCCAAAATTCTTGTTTTTTCTAAAGCAAACTTTCTTTCATCTAATTGAATGGGAATGGGACAAAAGGTAAGAGAATCCATCTTCCTGTTACTGTTAAGAAGCAAAGATTACAACATTTGAGATAATGGATGAATGGTAGATACAGAAACAATAGAAAACATTGAGATACAAGGGAAGGCTAAAGAAGCGTTACACAGATTCATTGCTAGAGTTCATTCTGTCATTGACTATTTTTGGAGACCCTATATTCTTCATTTTCCTACAAAAGAAACCTTAAATACAATTGATGTTTCTCTCTCTGTTTCTTTAGACTGGGTTATGCCCATTCCTCTCATGGTGACCCTGAATGTCCACCCACTCTGCCCCAGCATAATTTTAGGAACCATCAGTACTGTTACCTTAGTCTGCTCCATCTACGGCTACTCCCTAGAGAATATCCAAGTCATCTGGGAAGCAGATGGGAAAAATCAAATGTCACCAATCAGTCAGTCAAGTATTACCCAATTCCATGTCAGCAGCAATTTGTCATTAACCCTACACGAGTGGAACACGCTACAAGAATATACCTGCAAAGTAACTCAACATGGAAGAAAACACACAGAGACAAGAAGTATCAGCAAGTGCAAAGGTGATTTTACATCTCTCTCTCTCTCTCTGTTTCCTCCTTCCTAACTCATTCTCTCTGTGTGTCTCTTTCTTTCTTTCTCTGCCTCTTAACATATTTCTGTGTGGAACATAAATTCATGTTCTCGTATCTTGTTGTCCTTCTACTTTTGACTCCCGTGGGGCCTAAAACAATCAGGCTGCTGGGGCATGATTTTGGGTTGGTCACAGCAGTTTCGAGAATGTAATAATTTAAGACCTAACTCAACTGGAAAGAAACTTGTTTGATTATTGAGTGAAATGTCCTGATTTGCTGCCAGTAGGGCTGATTCCTGTTCCTTAACTCTATTTCAATACTTCCTATAGTGGTTTGTTTCTTCATATGCTGCTTTTTACTAGTTTATGCTGCCCATCATAAAGAGCAATGTTTGTCTTCTGCCCTCTTCCAGCATGTAAGGACAGTGTACCACCTCCCGCAATGTATCTACTCAAACCACCCCTTGAGAGACTATTCACCCAAAAGAAAGCTCTTTTGACTTGCCTTGTGGTGGGGTATGAACTGGAGTATGTCATTCTCACCTGGATGATGAACGGGCTTAACCTCACCACGAACGCCACAACTGAAAAAATCAAAAGACATACAAACCAGACCCAGAGTTTTCAAAGCCAACTGAACCTCTCCAGCCAGAACTGGGATTCTGGAAAGAAAATTGAGTGCATCGTTTCTCATCGCTGCTCACTCTTCCCTAAAGTGGAGCAGAGCATCCAAAAAAACAAAGGTGAGAAAAGATTCCGCAAGGCCCAAAAGACCAGTGAAAAGTTATTGGCTTGCCCCTGAAAATTGTGGAGGAAGGAAGAATGATTCTCTGTACCAATTATCAGAGAAATTATTTTCACACCTTTAGTTTCATATAGATCAGAAAACGGATGGCCAGAGTAAAAACTTTCAACAGTTCAAAATCATGAAAATTAAATATTTTGAAGGTACCATCATTACTGTACCATCAATGAGATTTATTACGTTTATCAACCTTCCTTTTCTTTCACTTTTTTAAAAAAATCACCCTTACCCACATTTCTTTTCCATGTTTATCCCATATAGATTTCAGCCACATTAAGGCACCATCTCTCTCCTTGGTCATTCCATCACTATCACAGCTGACACAACCTACCTCCCAAGCAGTTGCTTGGTTGGCTTGTGTGATCAAGGGATTCTTCCCATCTGAAATACTCATCCAATGGAAGAAGAACAACAGAAGTATTGATGCCTCTGAGTATGTCATAGGCCCATCCACACCCGAAGCTGGAAACTCCACCTTTTCTACTCAAAGCATTCTAAAAATCCCAGCATCTGAATGGGAAAATAGAGCTCTGTATACTTGCCTAGTGGGCCATGAATCCCTAACTATCATGAAGAGCATCAGTAAACATTTGTATGGTAAGTCTTGGTGCTGGAAGATTCTCCATTAGCCAAGAATGGAACCAAGATTTAATTTTGCTCAGGGCAAATTACTATGTGAATCACAGAAGTTAGTGAAGAACCATAGGATCAAGTTGCTCAACTGCAATTCTTAAGCACAAACGAAACACACAAAAATTCAATGTTCACAACTCTCAGATGCGTACTAAATCTCCTGCATTGAAAAGTTCTGTATTTCAGGGTAACTTTGATGGTAAGATAGCTCTGTCAGTGGTGTTTGGGCAGTGATGGCTGTTGGCATATGGCAGACCGTGCACAAATGGGTTCCCAATTGGAAACAAGCCTCCATGAATTATTTGCAATCACTTCAATCACTAAGCTTCCTTGCCACACCTATCAAGTAAAAGCTGGGTGTCAAAAGTTGCTAATCTATCTAGATTATTGCTGTTTAACCATATATATTAAACTCGCAGGAAACAGCGTCCTGGTCATATGAATACCATTGTGCCACCCAAAGATCAACTATTTCTTTTCAGATATCCTGAAACCTACTCCCCCACGAGTGATGGCATTCCACACCTTTGAGGACAAGGGCTATCAGAAACTTGTCTGCTTTGCTACCAACTTCTATCCCAAAACCATAGACATTCAGTGGAGCATCAAAGGACAGAACCTCAATTCCATTCCAAACTGTTCATCTCCAGTGCCCCTCCCTGATGGGAAGTTCCAGAAGGACTGTAGTTTGACGGTCAGTGGAGAAGAATGGCACAATCCACAAATATATACATGCACCGTAAATCACAGTGCAACCCACCATTTGATTAAGAAAGACGTGCATTCTTCTGGTAAGTCGTCATAGACTGTTAACTGCACACTTAAATTGCAAACAGAAGAAACAGAACATTCAATCCATCCACAAAGTGCTTTTACTTTTGAATAAGCACCGCATTTCCTATGCCTCATTATGGCATGCTAAATATTCCAAAAAAATCAGTGGTCATGATTTTCGGTCTGCCAAGTCCCACATGCTAATTCTTGTTTTTCTTATTAATATTGTTCCTAACAGAAACTTTATGCTTTTAGTAATTTGCATAGCCAAAATAAATCATTGAGAACAGTACCATGTCACTGATGGCTGTGGCTATTGAGTTGATATTGACTGGCATCAAACAGGGAGGAAAGTAACCAATTGGTTGATAGAGATGAAATGCACACTGATAGCTTTTAGAATATCAACTCTGATATGCACTTGGCCTTGTAGTAAATAATTGCTTCTATTAGATGGAGAGTTGACCTATTAGCTTTGAGAAAAGAGTTGGACATGGATCCAGACCAAATCATTTTCCAGGGTTGGTTCCATATACCCTTCATCTTGTCTATACCCAGATAGAAGGACCTTCCTTTTCTGCAAAAGAAGGAAGTTGCTTGCCCTCCTTCTTTCTCAGCAACAGCATCCAGATGTTGGATTAATTTAATTTAGATTCCCCAGGCTAATCAGACAAAGGATCAGCTAGAGGTAAGGTAGCAACAGGAAAGCACACTTCAAACTAATTCAATGCAACATTGTTTTTGAAGGAATGGTGATGTCTCCAAACAATATGGAAGTTATCAGTATGCAATTACCATCCTTTGAAGATCTCTTCACAAACAGAAGTGCAGCTGTAACCTGCATAATACCCCTCACGAACGCAAGTGCCAATGCATCATTCAGCTGGACCATGGATGGAAAACCTGCCAACAATTATTCAGTGACAAATGAAGTCTTCCAAGAAACCAACACCACTTCTTTGATGTATGGCCAATTGCAGGTGAATCTGAGTGAGTGGGCCGCCACCACCCAATTCACTTGTAGAATCCAGAGTGGCCTAGGAGAAAAAGTGAAGAAGCATTTTGATCGAAAGAATGGTAAGGACTCATATAAAGAGCAGGCAAGCAACTGAGAAAAGAGGTACTCTAATTACAGGGAAATTGGGAAGTAATTCAATTCAGCCTTATTCTGAATTGATTCTGACAGTGGCCAAAACCAGAAAACACTTAGCAGATGCTTATTTCTTAAGAGCAGGATCATGGCCATATCTTAATGGTATGTTCACAACACACTGATGTCATTTTAACTTGGGATGTCCATGTAGAATCCCAGGAGTCATAGCTTGACGAGGATGCCAGGAATATTTAAGATTCCTAACCCATCATCCTTACACAAACAAATTAAAATAGTAGACTCCAGAGCTCTGGGGGAGTGGGGAGGTTCTGAAAAGGGAAAAAAACCCTGCTTGATATAGTAGTTTTAGGGTACAATGATGATAGGTTCCAGCATATTTTTGTTCCCAAAAATGTTCTGTTGTCTTGTCTTTGTTAACACAGGGTTTACAAGACCCCCAAAAGTGGGTCTCCAGCATCAGTCCTCCTGTGAAGGCCTAAATGTAACCCTACTATGCACAGCTAAAGATTTCTATCCAGATGAAATCTTTTTGAAGTGGGAAGAAGAGAACAAAGAGATGTCCTTCAAGGGTTATGATGCCCATGGCATGAAATGTGATCATGAGAAAAAAACGTGTTCCTTACTCAGCATGCTTGAAGTCCCCATAAGCAAGTGGATGATGGGAGCCTCGTATACGTGCCTTGTAGCTCATGTCTCCTCTGAAAATATAATAACTAGAACAACCAATTTATTTACTGGTAAAAAACAACACCAACAGCAACACCAATTGTGCCACTCTTGTTATAATGCATTTTTTATGTATCTTTCCATTTCACATTAAAACAATATTTATTAATTGGATGTTTCTTTCTTTCTTCTTTGATTGGCAAGTCGTGCCCTGGTTTACACCACAAAGAGCCACAATTTAGGCTAATGCAATACCCCAAAGTTGCTATATGAGCACTGTTGTTTTGAATGTGGCCAATATATTCCCACAGATACTCATTTGACTTCCATTTGACCTTTTTTCCTAAAAAAAAGTTCCTGAACTTTTTTACTTATCTTTTAATATGTGTTAGACTTTTGACACTAATCATTTCTCCTTGATGGTTTCAAGACTGGTTTGATACTGAATTTTATGCTTTGGGAATGGGGGGCTGATATTTCATTTTCTAGCCATTAAACTGTTCACACTGATCTTGCTTCAAATCTGCTTTGATTATTTTATATCTTTGGGGTGTAGTTTTTATAACTCACCCTGAACATGTGGTTCTTGGTGGTATAAAATATCATAAATACACACATTAAATAAATGATCCAATAGAAATAGATAATGTCCCGTTCCCTCTCTCTGTACATCAAATGCTCTCTGTTGGCTTTTGTTCCTTTGCTTTTCAGAAACATCTTTCCTCCACGCGCTAACCTAATTTTTTTCACTCCATTTTGCAGATTCCTGGGATTGCACCGTCATGGGAACTGCCTTGTGTGACATCCGCAACGAAAGCGAAGATGAATACAGTGAACTGGAAGAAGCCAATCGTGTCTGGAACAAAGTTTTCACCTTCATTGTCCTCTTCATTGTTGCAATCTTTTATGGCGGTCTTGTCACTTTCATCAAGGTAAAGAGGAAATCCATCAAACCATAGAAATAGATTATTATCCACCTTCTTTCTCAGTTGCCTTTCCAGTAAATGAGTACTTACCCATCACAGCATAAAATCATGGAACTGCAAAAGAACCATTCCAGGTTGAGAAAGGGGGGTCTCTTAGATGTTCCTCAACTGCAATTCCCAGTAGCCCCTACTAGCAAAGCCAAGGATGAAGGATACTGGGAGTTCTAGTTCAATAACAACTGGAAGGCCAAGGCACCCCTCCATTGAGTTGGACCAATTCAATAGCTAAGTCCAGAGTACAATTAGGATATTCAGAATTTTGAGAAAGCATTGGGGATGCCACAACAAAATACATAGCACACAATGTGTGCTTGTGTATTAATTAACATTTACCAGTTTGCCTATCAACTGATTGTTCTCTGCTATCAAGATTTATAAGAATTGTCATGAGATAATGGGGCTAGTTAAGCCATTATTCAATGGTAGGAAGTTAGATATCCTAGATATATTTCATAACCCACACCAGGTCATTTATTTAATATGGGGTAGCTGATTTAATGTTTTTTCTTTCTCTCTTCCCCACTCATTTTCCCTTTTCACAGGTGAAATAACCATCATTCTTTCCTATCAACGAAGCACACACCAAATGAGACCCCACCTTTCCCCCCATCATCCCTTTCTCTCACCCATCTTTCATTATCCCTGTTCTCAGCTACATTTTTCACGGGAAGTCACAGCAAAGCATTAAATGAGGCAAAAATATCCACTCCAACTTTACGGAATCTGCTTTGGGAGCCTTATCAATAACAGGAAGAAGCAAGTTTGTTTTCTACATAGAAAAAAAAGCTTCTACGAAAGAGAGGGACTTTAATATCTTTACCCCAAAAGTCACCAGTGCTAAGGAGCTCACTATGGATGCACAAATGACAACGTGTTCCCCTCCCTGTTTCCTTATTCCTTATTTTTGTAAAGGGCCAGCTTGCCACTGTCCCATACTGAAAGGAAACATGAGGATTGAAAAAAAAAAAAAAAAAGCAAACAGAAGTATTGTGCGCTTTCCAAACAAGCCAACTTTTGATCATGACTAATTTACCAGCATGGCACATTCCATGACTTGATGGACTTTCTAGTGTGCTAAATAACTTTTCAAGAGGGACACTGTTTTCATTTTTCAAGAAGAGGGTGAAAATAAAAGCCTGTTCCCCCCATTTCCAGTACTTAACCCACCAGCTTCCTTTTCAACATGAATTTTGCTCCACTCTTGATCAGCCCTCTAGTGCTAAACAGCTGGTTGGTGCTTGTAGTGCTAATCAGCTACTTAGCATGGGCCTAAGACACCATTTACTTTGAAATTCATTTAATTAGCTACTTCGTTTACTGTGAATTAGGCAATTAGCCCCAGAGAGTTTCTTAGTGCAGAGTATGAACAGCAAACTACGTAGAGTGTCTAAGAATCGATGGCTGTTTTCTTGAAACTATAGGTATCTAATAAGTGTGTGCCGTAGGTTCATTGACTAAGGTTCAGTATGTATTTTATCATGGTATAGCACATATCAGCATTGCCCTCTTTCGCATTTGGCTGCATTTTATGAAACTGAATAACACTGTCCAGGCAATTGCATTTATTTTACCCTATTAGCATTATGTTTTGCCCTCTTATGCTATGTAAACTGTATTAAAGCAGGTTTTTATTGCATTCCATTATATTGTGCTAAGGTTTATGCTATATACTGCACCATTCTTAGGTTCCTTGCTTATTTTTTCTGGATTTTGGTTTCTTCTGTAGCTGCACTGATTCTGATTATATTGTTTTTCCCTTGTTCCCCATGATATGATTTCCTCCCTATGTAGAAGTGTTCTATAAAACTTTTGCTGCTACATAAAGTTTCTTTTTCACCTATCTATTATTGTTTGTCTCTATCTTTTTTTAAAAAAAAGTGGGTTGGGGGGATTGCAATAAACGCTGATTTCACCTCCAGATGGAGTCGACTAAAATCATCAGAATCGAATTTGTGGCAAGGTAGCTCATACATACAAAGTCACGAGTTCACAACCTAAGTACTGATGGGGGAAGAGATTACAAGAAAAGGGGAAATAAGGTTTAAAAATGAAGGTGGAAATCCATAACAAATGTTTTCAGGTACAGATGTTTTCAAGTTTGACTATAGTGTTCAGAAATGAGAGAATCTGAATTCTGTCATTTCTTTGCTTAGTGAATCTCAGCTTAGTTCTGTCTTAGATAGGTTGATTCAGTTGCATTTGATTAAGGATATCTTTAGCAGATTTTTATTGTGACAAAATTAAGGGCAAACTCATAACCAGCCTTCCCTGAGATTGAACGTGATGAGATTTCTCAATAAGTATGCCTAAGTTGGCACTGTAAAACTGCAATCCTGAGAACAAAGCAAATGAAAACAGTATTACAGCCATTAATCATAAATCCAATATAATCAATAAAACCTAACACTGAATGAAACATTCAATAATTTTCATAAACTAAGTTACCTCTGCAGATAGTCATTCTGTCCCATGATGGTAACTTTCTCATGGCGTATCCTTGTCACTAAATAGTAAAATTTTGCTACAGAATAGGTAACTTTAGAATTTTTTCAGCTTTAAAATCATCCTGTGGGGACATTTACCTAGGAGTAAGCTTCACTGAATACATAAGACTTGTGTTTCAGAATTGCAAAGTGCCCCACAGATTAACCACGCACTATATTTGATATTAGCAGCTGGTAGCAGGTAGCCAACATTGGCTGATTTCTAAAAAGCTAAGGGCGATTTTGAGCTTGTTAGTACATGGATATGAGATCTGTTAGGAAATCTTAGGGCTGTAGTCTAAACTGGGAAATTGAGAAGACATTGCAGAAGGAAGCAATGGCTAACCATTCCCAAGAAAAGCATACGGATGGATTAATGCATTCACTAAGAGTTGATCTTGACTTGAAGATGCTTTCATCTTTATCACAGGTGAAAGTTGGAGAAATTAAGATACTGAAGCTACAAATCTGGAGTCTTATTTAAAGGCCATTGGTTCTTCTCTGTCCCCCTGATCAACTTTCTTTTTCAAACTCAACATGTGCCATAAAACAAGAACAATTCCATTGCTGAAAGATCACTGTTTGGTGTCTTAAGTTGAGCAGAACATTTGCCACATGTGCCATAAAACAAGAACAATTCCATTGCTGAAAGATCACTGTTTGGTGTCTTAAGTTGAGCAGAACATTTGCCACATGTGCCATAAAACAAGAACAATTCCATTGCTGAAAGATCACTGTTTGGTGTCTTAAGTTGAGCAGAACACTTGCCTAAAGCCTCCATTCTCTGTATTTCATGTCTGCTTGCTTTGGAGATCCACCAAGGGTAAAAAAAATACAAGATCTATATGTTTATCAAGTGCCTAATCTGTAGCTAGTGAGTTTCATGGAACAACAGAATCTGGGCTCCATTTTCTTCTTGATTAGGATCTGAAA